GGCGCATCTTATTTCACACCACTAAGTCGAATACGACTTCAAATACTCCTAGAACCTGACGGCTCAACCTGATCGTGTTTTCATTTGCGCAGATGGTTGTTGTAACTGTGCGTTACCAGGCACATCGTCAAGAATTTCGATAATTGGGCTATCCACCCGGGTTGCTTTGGCGTTAAGCCTTCGGTAGTCACCGGGTGGACGCCAGTCGTTGTTGTCCTCTTTGAGAACCATGTGCAATGGTGAAGCCCAAAGATTGTTTGACAGTTCGACAATGCCCAGTTGGAGCATGTGGTCGAATCCACTCTTCGCCGTTTCGAGCTTATCAGGGGCTAGACGGTGCGCTTTGGATGCCACAGGTGGACCTGTGCTTGTGACGTGATGCATAACATTTCTGGTTATGCACGGAAGAGTGTGCTTCGGTTGTCGCAACTCTGGATATTTCTCCAAAACCGCTTGGTAGGACGCGTCGCCTAATTGTTTGGTTCTAACGAGGGCTAAACTCGGACCTACATAGGTGGTGCCGCCAATAGATAACTTTGTGTTGTTATCTTTCAGACGTCGACGGCGGGCATCTGCGGGTAGATCGTAATGTTTTGGCAAATCTATGCCAATGGTGGGCATAGAAACATCAGCCAGGAGGAAAATCCAGTGCATAGGTTCACATAGACCTGAGTTGAGGTAGGCATACTGTCGCCCGAATGTCACGATTGCCTTGCCGTTGACTGCTTGAAGGTTGAAGGATGGGTCATGACGACGCTTCTTTGTCCGTGCGGGAAGAACGCTAACTTCTGCGCCGGTGCCGACGAGGTAGCAAACTTTCGTTTTTATGTCGGTGACGTAGAACAAACGGCTGTTTCCGCCGGCTACGGTTGCCGTGAACACGTGCTGGCATGACAGTTTCCCGAGTTTGTGTCCTTCTTAAAACTGGTTTCGTCTCCGTAAGTGTTATGAAACCAGCACCACTCAGGGCTTCCACCCTGTTAGGTTTAGCTTTGGGGCAGCCACGCGGTTTGCTGCGATGCGCTAAGGCGCGTTTCTGTGGAGTCCTGCGTGAACTAGGACTTCGAGATCGCAGCAACTGTTTAACAGAGTTGCACAACTCCGTCATCTCTGAATCCTGGCTCTCTGGTTTTTCGCAGACAGATTATACGTTGGGGACGGGTCTGCTAGAAATCTCCAGTATTTTATCTGCTGAGGCTGCCAGGTCATCGAGTGGGACTGACTGCAGTGTCACCAACACGGTTTGCACCGGTTGTGGTAGTTTTGACAGAAATAGTTCTCCGAAAAGGCCATCGTCAATGTTCGTGCACCGATTACTTCTCGCGTGCGTGCGAGGACTTCAGTAACTGAGTGGCTGCCTAGCTCAATGTTACGAAGCGATTCGTCTAGGTGCTGACGATCTGTGAGATCGCTTTTCTTCAAGGATGCGGCTTTGAGAAGTGCATGAGGATCACCTACTTCAGGTTTAAACATGTGTGCCGTAACATGCCTGTTTAATTGCCGCGGTAGTGAACGTATGACGGCAAGAAATCGAGAATGAGGATCTGAGGCCCCCTGTTCTCGAAAATCTGCCTCGGCATACAGAAACCATGTTTCCGCATTGTCTGGCCAATATGTCACCAGTTGGATCGTGTTCGTAGTCCGCTTAATAAGAAAAAGCTTGGGAGTGTGGTCGGACATAAGAAAGTGTAGTAAATGGATGTATAAATGCTATCGAAGTGAAAACAATGTGCAAATATAAGATGGAACATGCTCACCAATTCAATATTTGTTATTGGTCGGGATATGTGATCACGTCGGGCTCACCAATTTAGGAATTGTTCTGGTGCGAACTTGACAGATGCAAAGACCAATCACTAATTATTCGAACTTGTTATATACCCACGAATACGATACCAAGGAAGAACACGTTAGCGTAGCCGGAAGGAATGGTATATTTGGGTGGTTGTGCCAAGATACTGATGCATTCCAACTATCTGACTAGAGAGTGGAATACGAGCGGTGCAACGTAACACGACAGTGTGCCAAATGGAGAGGATGCTTGACCGGGTGCCCTCAGCTTAGCGAGTCCAGTTAAACTATCAAGGTCAGCATCAATGTCGAAAGTTGTCAAACCCTAGGCTATTGATTTTCGGGAAGTGTGTGACGCTACAAACCGTAGGCTATTCGTCTACTCCAATCCTTAAAACCTGCCTTTTTTAATCGTTACGTTTACGCCATCCGCTGTTATAAGTATGGACGAGAGCCCTCACAGACAGGTAAGTCCAATTCACTTCCACCTTACACTTAGACGGCAAACTGAATTGTACACGCAGACTTCACTTTACAGACACCGGATGATCGAAAGTAAAGTGATGTAAGTCTGTTTTCAGTTTTGAAATTGGATTTCATGAATGCCTTTCACACCGCACCTAACAGGTTCACTTATTGTCTTCTCCTGCAGGTAAACGACGTTGAACCTGCCTACTGGATTGCCGTTTATGTGTCTGTTAGCACGGAAATTTTTTATCATGTGAATTAGCACACTCTTTTACCTCATAATACAAGCTGCATCTCTTAACAGTTGCTTATGGAGTAGACTCTTGGGTTACTACGGGCACATGTACATTGTTTCCGGAAACCATGGTATCGGTGCGTAGACAAGTTGTCATTCGTGCGCGAAAAATTGGATAACTTCCAATCACTCCATAGCTTCAGACTGTTGAATTATTATCAGTTACCTTGGAATCCTCAGGGGAGAAGCCTACGAGTTGGCACGTTTTAAATATTTTCGGTTACATCCAGACTATCACAGCAAGTAATTCGTTCACACTCGTCTGCACAGGAGCGCACTCAACGAAGGAGTTTGGTAATATTTACTTCCCATAGTTCCAGCATTATTCATAATTTTCAGCTGAAGAGAACGCATTTTACTTCGCGTGAAAATATGTATTTAGGTACAAAGTATTCAACACACTTAGAGTGTCGTCCGAGTAAGTGTTCATCGATCACTCCTCCAACATTGCCCTTTCTTGATCTTGTAGTAGTAGGACGGTCATCCTGCAATGTAGAACGAAGGGAACATTTATAGTTCTTGCAGTATATGCCTACATTTAGTCACTGGGAAAAACGGTAAGCAAGGATCACATATGCACAAAGTTTTTAGAAAAAGTTTGGTTAACCAATGATCTTTCTGTATTTCGAAAACATACACCTGATATCTCAGGTGCAACCTATGCACCCTACTACACAGATCCAGTGTATCAGTTAGCATTTTAAAAAAATGCATGATGACAGTGAAGTAAACTGTCTCTGAAATTGCCCTTATAAATTATACAACTGGTACTGTCACTTAGAATACACAAAGAGGAGCGTTGTACAACTTCAGGTGCTGATTTATGCCTACATTGTTATCCCGTGTGATTGCAGAGGATAACAGCTAGAAATATTAGGGGAACAAGAAAAGAACTCTGAGGCGCCCCATTTACTGTCGGGAAGCAGCTAGATGCAGAGCAGCCAATTTTAACTGACTGCCACCTAGTGTAAGGATAACCCCTACGCCAACTTTGTCACTTTCGGTGTACACCCATAAGCTCATGTCCCTTATACATAATATCCTGATTCAACCTGTCCAAAACCTTTGAAAACTCAAGCAGACAAATGTGAATAGGCTTTCTCTACTCAATAATAGTTGTTTCCCAATTCCTGAGCTGGAAGGTTTGCTGCCTCGGAGTAGGTGTGGAGAATCTGCAATCCTGTAATACTAAGTGAACTAATAGTCTTCCATTCAATCAGTAAACAAAGGAAAACAACTAACGTCGTATAAGGTTATGGGTGCATACACGACCCAAGAAGAGCAAAACTTATCCGTTCTTCGTGTATTCACTGGACCAGCAAGTTTTAGTCGTCTTGGGTTTTCAGGCACGCCCCACATAACACGATATAAGTGGTTCTCTCGGACTCAGTGTAGGAATTCAAAACGTTCACAGTTTCCCTTTCCTTCCTTCCGTGTGGACATTCAGGAAGTATAACTGTAGCCATCGTCTTCAAAAACTACAAGCGATAGTTTTTGTGTGATTATACCCACAAATCACGTACATCTCTTTCCAAATTCCTTGTCATGATGCGGTTCTACGGACTCATAATCATCACAAACTCTCTGCATTATCATAAAAATACTTCGAAAGCTGAATCACTTACTCTCATACGTCAACCACTTCAAGTATCTTTATCCCAAGTGCTCAGTATCCCGATGATTTCTTAGCTAGCCCTTGCTATTAGGTAAATGTGAGGCTAACAGAATATCCACTGCATCCCTTTGCAATACTTTACTGAGTAGCATGCACACAATAATTCAATCGGGAAGCACAAGTGCTCGGACAATTGCAAAATCCCATTCCCCATTTGACTGAAAATACATACAGTGGATTATTACAGACTAACAACCATAAGTGTGCATGATCAGCAATAACATAAAAAGGTAAATATGAGATACATATGTATACTCTAGTACACTTGACACATGTGGCAACCTAACATCTTCCTTTAGCCTTCCAAATACATTTCCACCTCATGAAAAGCAAGTTATGCTTTAACAGCGAAAAATTTTACAGAATGGACCTTATTCATTCTAAATTCACATTATGAATGGTTAACTTACCTAAACAGAGTGGCTATACCACAAAACCTACAACAAGTCAGCTTACAGACAGTAGGCTGGTACTGACATGCCCAATGTAACGCAGTTAGACAGCTCGACATGCTGCATAGCAAATCGAGCCATTAAGTGAAGAAAACCACAACAAACGAAGACACTGAGTGAAATTACTCCAAAACAATCTCTTTTCATAGAAAATTTGAACAAAATATTGACCAGCAATACCAGCTACGTAACATTAAGTTTACATGACAACACGCTGTTTACCGGAACTCGTAAAAATCTTACTGATCGAAGTACAATTTCAGTGGTACCAGCTAGCCAAATAGATATTGTATGTTGGGTAGCAGGCCGATTTGTCAGACGCGGGTGTTCTGAGAGTTGTGTGACCTTGCGATGGCTGAATGTTGCAAGCACAATTGTGTTACACTGGTTTTAAAGTGATACTAATTGCTAATTAGTATACGTTGCTTGTATCAAGTGACTTCATACTCCCAGGTTAGCGAATTATAGCAGAAATATTTTGCACCCTTATGGAGGTAGAGAAATGATTCCTTAGGTGCACTCACATTTTTTGCAACCTCTGGAATTTCCGAACCAGTGTACGCTATTATTAATTCATAGAGTTTTGCTCAAAATTCTGAGGACTCTCATCCGAAATGTATGAGATCTATTCACTCTGCATAACCGTAGTATTACTCTGTCAGTGAGAAATCTCTCCTCTCGAGAGATATATCTCTCGATGCTCTATAGGACATCACAAGGAAGTTAAAAAACGACTGTCGAATTAACTTAGCTTGATCAATCGATGCTATAGGCGCAGGTTCACGCTAATTTGGTATGATCATGGTTTATGGATTTTATCTGTTATAAGCTCAGAGGTAATCGATTCTACTTGGAGAGATAAAAATAAGATGTATCATTAGCGATACAATCAACTAAAGATATGGAATGGCAGCCTGAGAGCACCTTTTTTGTCGAGTCTAGACAGCGTGGATATATTTAGTCGACCTAAACATTCCTCACAGGCCAGATTGGAAAGTTCAGCCAGCAGCTTGGCACCTACCTTTTGAACACTTGAAATTTCATCGACAACTTTTATAGATATGGAGTGGCCGCTTGAATGCATTGCCTTAATCGATATCGTTCTTATGTGCTAAAGTTTGATCAAAGCTTTGTTAGAGATCTGCTTAAAAAATATGACAGGAGAGCTTTTGCTGTAATTGCATTTTATTCCTCCAAGTATTTTCGATCACGACGTATGGGGACACCTAGGTCTTTTAGTACAAAGGGTAGTGTTGTATCGGTAATGAAATAGCGAAGGTAGTTATCATGACCAGTGTTCTGTATTGGGTTTTCACTAGAGTTTATTTCCAGACAGCAACGTTTGGGCCAACCTATTGGTTCACCTAAATCTACTTGAGGCACTCATATAATAATATTTATTCTACATAACTTAATGTGCATGAGTGCATTCGATTTTTACAGGCATCATGACTAAGCATCTCCATATGACTTTCCAAACCTCCACACCATCGGCCAATATGAGCCATCAGTTACTAAACATTTTCGATAATTCAACATAAAATAGGGTATAGAGATAACCTGGAATTTTTCCCCAAGGAATCCGGCTTCTCAGGTTCCCACTACTTGTTCCATTAAACCTGAATCTACCTTCTGTCAAACAGAAAGCCACTAATCCAGGCTTGTATTCTAAGATCAACTGAAAAGAGGAGAGCTCCCCATTAGTTTCGTACGGGACAAATTGTCAAAAGCCTTGCTGAAGTGTAGGGGTGCAACTTCTGCTAGCAGTTTGTCGTAACAGGGTGCTCCTTATTCCTCTCTCACAATGAGGTTTGTTAATCAGAAATGCTCAGCTCGAAAATTGTTTTCGACTCAGTGTGGACGAGCACTTTATCGGACTCTCAAGGTGATAACCAGATTGTAGCTGACAGTTATTGGCCCTAAAAAATAGGCTAGTTATGGTATCTCTCCAATCTCTAGAGAGAGTCTGTATCAAAAACATGATGTAAAGATCTCTTGGGTTTTAAAATTTGACGGAGTTATTATTTGAGGCATTTTGGTCAGGTGAATTCTCTTTACGCTGCCAAAACTATCAGTTCTACTGCTGTAAATGTTTAATTGTTTTACTTAACTGAGGTTTGGAATTCATGGTATAACTATGATAAGGTTAGCTTGATTATCGTGATTCACAAAATCCTAAGATATACATCCTTCATTCTTTAATTTGTGCTCCGGAATGACAAAGCTTCAAATTCTAGGAAAGCATGTTGCCTGGTAAAGTTTCGATTGAACTCTTGAGAGAAGACATGCTATTTCGTGATATAAAGCTGCCACTTGGGTTTCAGCATTCGATTGCTAAATATTGAGTAACGAGTTTGAAATCTCCCTAGTGTGGTTTAAGCAGCATTATATTAACACTGGCTCTCATAAATCAAGTAAACGAAAAACCAACAGATCAACGTAGTTCCTGGGGCAGAAATGGGTCAATCTACCACACTTCACAGGGGCATGAGAAAAAGTAGTGAACACAAAAAGAATGACAGTAAAGTGGAGAAAAATGTATGACAGGAGACGGAAATTATTGAAGACTGATGAAATTTCTCAAAAAGATGACGTTAAGTTTATGAACCTGCACCATTGTGATCAGTTTCGAGATCTATCGCCAAGACTTGTTAGGCTCAAGTTAGTGAACAGACATTTTATTTATAGCCTTGCTATATTTTTGTGTAGGAGTTTTGTTGTACTATCTGAAGGTAGTCTCATACTAGTCTAGTTATGATATTTATTCGTGGTGTAAATTATGGTAGTCTATCGAGCAGAAAGCTAATGAAGACTGAGTTTTAATGGTTTGATTATGAATCCTATTTAGTTAAGTTTGTATCTATGCTACAACTATCATTTGGAAAGCAATATGTTACGGTTTTTCAAGGTTAGTCGGTATCGATTCCACTCACTTGTCTGTGACAGTCGTCAACTGGTTTTCGACAACCTAAACCCACGGTACCTACAACAAGACAAGCACTAACAATGAGTTGAAATTCTGCACAAAACTTCGAAGTTAATAAACTTGTAATTTTCTGTCTAATCGATTCTTTTGTAGGTTACCCATAGACACATAAGTGTTGGGAGGTACCTTCATTAAAGTTGAAGTTAATAAATGGCTCATAAAAAATGTATGCCATTGATAACTACCTATAAATCGGATGATTCATCTTTGGACGATGATGACACGTCAAATAGTTATGCAACAAACAGATCAAATGATGCCATTGATGAAGATGACCAACCGTTGGTTAGTTTATTTTATATTCACTTCCTAAAGTAATCACGTTTCTCCGAAACATATACCTTTTTCATACGTAGCAGTAGTCTCTTTTTTTGTTTTTATCTGTCAAACATTACTTGCACCAATGTATTGGATTTTTTGTTACTTAATAAACTGAGAAGTAAGTACAAGAAGATTTTTGTTCAGTAAGGATAACCAGCATTGTATGTTAGAAAAACTTCAGTTAGTTATAGAGGTAAATAGATTAGTAACATAGTTCTCGAGCAGGTGACTGCGATAATGATTAAAGTACGTTGAAAAATAATTTTCGTTGATTTTGGTTACAGCAAATTTGTTTTCCATCTAGTCACAGTCTGAACGTGGAAATTGCGACTGATTGGTTTCTGCGCTTAACCTTCAACCAATAAATAGGTAGTGATTTTGAAGCCACTTCGGTTCATGGAGTTTCAATAGTTGTGAAATAAGACGTGCGGCTCAGCCCATTGTACTGATCTGTATGTACTGGAAATCGAAAAACAATTGATATTTGCAATCTAACTTCGAGAGAATTACCTATAGTTCTTCTAGCTTCATCTTTATTTTCTGTGTTCCTTGTGTGAGTCTTTTCTATGTTTCTCAAAAGTATGATAGCTTAAATTGACATATTATTGAATCACTTTCTTACCAGTAGATCGACCAGTTAGTTTAGTCAAAGTCTACGAGTAGCCATGGAATCACTTTTGCATAGTCTGTTATAGCGATGATAGCTGTTTTATTTCTGACTGTTATTATTGTAATTATCTTTTATGTTCGTCGAATATAGACATTTGATGCCTATCTTGGTATAATATATTTGGTATGATATATCCACCATCTCACTGGTATTAAACGATCTGAGATATTCTTAACAGAGGTGGAAGCGATTATGCAACAGGACATCATTATGATGGTTTCTTCATTCAGAAATTCAAGTAAATATGGATCTGAACTAAAATCTGAAGTACATATTACTATGTTTATAACAAGCAGGTCTTGAAGTCATCCTCAGATACCTAAAGTACTGTTTTCATTACCAACTAGAGCGGAACATGTACACTTGCTTGCTAGTGCCCTCAAAAATATAGAGAAAACATGTCCCATATCATTTTGTCTTGTCATACTTCTGTTGGTTTATGGAAGCTTTTTACTCATAACTTATCAGGATCTCACTTCTCGCAGTACGACTAACAGGTTAGATCTTTATGTAGATGATTAATTTGCGGTATTGGCAATCACATTTGAGAGTGAGAAACTTATCGCAAGTTAATCATCGATTTGGCACATGATCTATGGATCCTGATACATGTTTGTGAAGAGGTGTTCGAACGTGCATGAATTCAAATAATGTTACAGCATAATGTGAGTGGATGCAGTGGTTTAAAGGCTTATGGTGCTGCATGGTTACCTGAACTGAATTAGGTAGAGCAGGACTTGAACCCGTAACTGCTTGAAAATTGAGTGCTTAAACCAGTTAGCCACATTCCCATGATTCGACAGATGGAATCATGTATAAAATTAGTTATGATGATCATGTTTAGGACCCATGGGTCTGGATTAGCTACAGTTTATTTGCAAACTTTACAGGATTACGCGACAAGCAATTTTTCAGTCTGTAAGCTAACTGCCTGCAGGGTGGTCCATTTACTATGGAGGACAAAATCATGCGGTTTATTTTCACGGATAGCTTCAAATATCTTATCGAAGTCTTATTTGATGATTGATGTTGTTTTGTCTGTCTGTCTATTGATGGGCTGATATTTAACTCCAAAGACAAATGTTTAAGTGGTGTGCACACTGCTGAGATATGTACAATATCCAATGTTCTGAAGAGTGAAAAACATGTGAGATGTGCATGTGAGTTGACTACACGTCTTAAAATCTCAATCGGTATACCTTCTAAGGCAAAATGATGCATATAAGTGTGACTTGATGGCTGTTTACAGTTTTCAAATCCTTTATTCCGCTAACGAGATTCATAATTTCTACAGAAGTTCTGAATTCTTATTCTATGGTTGATAAGCAATATTTTCGGTGATCTTAGCAGGCTCCGGATGTGTTGTTTTTGTTGTATAAAAGCATCCAGGTGTTTGTATACTTCAGGATCAAAATTTGACTAGATGGAATTTAATAAGTTAGGCATTGAGTAAATGATTAACGGAGGAAACATATTCGTGAACTTCTAGTAAAGCCGCTTCTTCGTAGCTCTAGTACAGGTTTTATTGCTTGGAAAAGCGGATTCCACGAAGTTGGGAAACGTTACAGTTATCACCGTGGCAGGGGATTATGGTAGTAATAATACTCTCAAACTATATAAGGGAAAAGACTTGTAGCTCAGGATAAAGATGACGATGGTTGTTGTGGTTCCATCGCCAGAGCTTCATTATAAAGTTATTACCGATGATTTCAGCAAACCTGGTGATGAATAGTCAACGGAAAATATCAAAACTCTGAGGACACTAAACTGTAACTGTAGTTTACCAGCACGTTTTAGTGTAGTATGTTTATTCCTTATGAACCACCGCTACATTTTTTTGTATGATATCATGTAGCATCGGTTTTTCTGTTACCATTTTCCCAATCTCTGGGTACATTGACGACAGTGTAAAAATTTGTCTCTCTTTCCAGTCAACCTAACACGTTTTTTTAAACTTTTCTAACCATTGGTATTATTTATGCATATTACGCAAGTTGTTTTTTTTAGGTTAAACTGTTGTGAAAGGTGAAGCAACAGATGAAGAGTCTCAAAAGCTTTTACCCATCTACGGCTTCGCTTTTGTGTATATCATACCATCTTCCGGCATTTTGCTTTAGAGCATTACTACAACTTTAGTTAGATGACTTAACTGGTCCTGGAAGAAAATATGTTCTCTTTCAACAGTAAATAAACGAAGTTTAACCAACTTTTAAAGCACTGAAAAGTATTTTTTTTGCTAACTCCCAGAAAAGACGCGTCATTCTGACTTTCCACTACAAGCTATCATTTCCTTGTACGTGTAAGATGATTTTCCCCTTTTAATATCAATTAAAAATTTCATCTTTGGTTTTATTTCAGTCTCGTTTGCGTTCTTTACAATCGTCACAAAGTGATATACCTAATAATGTGACAACTACACAATCGTTCATAAACGCCTCTTTTAATCCAGTATTAACACAATCTAACTCACCTGAATACTCAATCCTGCCGAATGTATCCGATTCAGAAGATGATTCTGCCTCTTTTTCATCTGGTTCCGATGAAGAATTCAAGGAACTAGTGGATGAATTCTCGTCACTACCTGTAACAGAAGTAAGTTTTAACGCTACACATCATTACTGCCTTCCAGTTTTTTTTGGGAGGGGGGGAGGAATAAAACGTTATCAGGACTGTATTTTTTGTCCTGTCGTTTTAATAGTGCGAAAAGTATATTTAGGCTAGTGTTGTGCAAAACTATACCTTTTTAAATGCATCTTACTTTCCCTCCCTTTGTATATCCGAATGTGCAACATTATGGTTGGTTAACTCACGGATGGTCTTCTAACTGCACTTTCCAGTTGTGTACATTTGACATAGCATTTATTCAATGGATGCTTCATCAGAGGGGATAGGATGAAACGATTGTCCAGCGCTCCCAAGTTTTCCATGGTTCCTTCGAATCACAACAGTTCGTGATGAATGGCATTTATTTATTGAATCATAACGAGATTGGCAAACTGAGATTAAATTATTGACTTCTGTCCGGTGTTTGCATCTGTTAATTTGTGAACTGGAGCAAAATTCCTTTACCTTTGCAATGACGTGTTAGAACAGCATAACGTGGTAATTATTCCTCTTTTGGACATGTATTCAGTAAACAGACGGTCTGTAAAGCTTTTGGTGATTGCTATTATCGCTTAAGTGGAACCGAATGGCTTAGGAAATCTGGATGTTTTTATATCTATGACGGTTAGAGGCTAGCAGTGGAATCCAAGATGCACGTCTCGTCCCATTTAGGACTCGTCAGCAGAATTTACCTGTCTCCCAATGAGCAATGTTGTTCCTACTAAGTTTTAAACTTGATAGCGAGAGCTTCAAGCGCCAGAGCGTTATCTACTAGGCCACCGAGTCACGACGGACACTTCTTGTGCAATGGGTATGATTAATATGATATCGCTTGTATTATCTCACCGTTCATTGGACCGAATCGATCAGTCTGTTGGCATATGGGCTCCTGCACAAATGCCCTGTTATTTCCTGTCTTTTCAATTTTGATATTAATTATGAGTGGTGGTTTGGTAGGAATAACATCGCTCACTGGGAGGTGGGCACACCCAGCTAGCTAGTTCCAAACAGGACGAAACGTGCGTCCTGGATTCCACTCCTAGCTACCATCCATTATTAATATTATTTGTTTCTGTTTGTTGTAGTTAGCTGTTGTGAACACAATAACACTTCAACCAACAGAGTATCATTCTACTTAATGTTTGTTTCTTTAGTGATTTCGTTTCAATTACAACCAAGTCATTATTTTGAACTGAAGCGTTTTTCTACAACGAGAAATAAAAACAGCAGCAGGCTGAGAAAAAAAGCCAGAATTCCAATAAGGTGTTCGTTTTCTCTGTACATATTTCTCTTCGATTCACTTTATTTGCAATGACATTAGTTGTACTTGCTTTGTCTGTTAAACGCTTAAGAATATAGCTTTCATGCTTCCATATAGTTTAGGACTTTTATCCGTGATAAGCAAAAGGACTCGAACCCTGAATTGGATACTTCAAACGTCAGAGCGTTATCCACTATGATACAGGTAACAGCATAATATGAGTAGTTGCTTGGGAATCCTTGAGGTTATGAACGCACTTGAAATAACTGTAGATCAGTGCCCCAGTGATCCAGACTATTTGGATACCAAACACTAAGTCATCATTTCAAAAAGTTACGGATGGTGTAACTAACTTTCGCGGTTTAATCTTATCTGATCGGTTAGTAAACAAACCTACATGAAATGTAAGTCTGTGAAGCGCAAATTTTGACTTTGTATATGATCAGAAAACAGCGAATGAAGCGTATAAACGAACTGAATTCTCAGCCCACACTCTCCTTGTAACCTTATTCTGACAGTTCAGGATATCGACGTATGTTTCTATGTCTTCCGCCCTTTGACCAGTTGTTATGTGATTACATAGGTCTTTATTGAGGGATTCTAATTGGTTAGTTAGTAATTTGACGAATTCTCTGTGATTGAGTAGAATGCTACTCTATGGCTTTTTAGTAGTATCCGAACAAATTAGAGAAAACTGATGAAATATGCCATTTCCTTATCAACCTAGAAAACAACCTTGAAGTAACATGTATTCTTACCTCTTTTGTTTCTTGTGTATATTTTCTCTGCCTCTCTCAAGCTTCTAAAATCTAAGAGGTTTGCAATGATATATAGTGAGAAAAAGCGTCAAAAATGCAAATCAGGTAAAATGTAAGTTTTTTTATATACTCATTAATCATCTGTAATCACTCTTAAACTGATACTCCCCTTTCATATGTTATTACATCATGAATATACTCATGTATCAGACTTTTTCCTGTTGGTTGTAAATGATGTGACATTTTACCCGATTGAGCTAGAACAGGGCTAATACTGGCTTTATCGATCATGTGTCACCATTCCATGAAGTTTTCGGCTGTTCTAGAGAGATGTAAACTTCTTGGTTGAGGTCCACTAGATGTTGGAAATCTATGGTTGAAGACTTCTGGTGATATTGTTCAAAATCTCTCACAAGAACATTCTTTGTTGTCGCCAAATACTCTAATGTTTTCATTAACTTTCATCCATTTGTTCTCCTAACTCTTAAACACTTTCATCTACCTTAATAGTACTTTTTTTTATCCACTTGTTACTTACATGGTGCTGTGAGGTATGGCAAGTTAAGGTGATGCACTTCTACTCCGTGATCTGTCTCTCTGTCTCGGGTAGTATCATACAGCCTTACACAGTAAGTGTAACTCATAGACTAGTTCCCAAATTTATACTGAGTCCAGTTCACTGTTGTCTCTGAACAATGACTCCCATCTGGAGAAATCATTTTTCTCTTCCCTTTTCCTCTGTTCTTATGTCTCCCTCTATCGTTCTGTCTTGTTTGTTGATGTGTTGATGTTTTGGCGTCTAGAAACTGTGACCGATATAAAGTTACCTTGGGTACCTTGTTGATATTGAATGAATGACTAAATGAATGAATAATTTTTAATTCTGATTTGTTGTGAGATCATTTGAAATTTAAATTTGTCAGATCGTATTTTTATTTTAACAGTCTCTCTTTATAGTTACTTATTTCCATTACGAAGTTTTGTGGTGTATAAGGTGTGACTGGGGGTGAACTTTGTGGCCAACACATAAGACTACACAGAATTTATCGACTTGTTAACTCCTTCCTTTAGATATGCATCTATCTACCATCTACTCATTGGGTTATCTGTTACCTGCCATTCGGATATGCTGTACTAACCTCAGCATCAAGAATAATTCGCTGGTTATTGTTACGTAAAACTTGACTAGTGTTGATATAAATAAATAGTCCGACTCAACTCAGTGTATGTTTTGTGTTCTGGGTGATGAGCTACAGCTTGTGTTAAAGCTTGTGATACTACCAATTTGACTAAGCTGAGACTTATTATTTGAAAGTTGGGGACCTAAGCCACCTCTCTACTATTAGTTTGATAGACTTTTAAAATTCAGTGAACTGTGATGAATACTGAGACAACAGATACTGAAATATTTCAAGTTGACGCGAATTCTAATTCGAATCTCTGGTGTACAGAAAATGTTTTGGTCTGTGGGATAAAGAAAACGAAGCTAATGTGCTAATATAAACAGTGGAATTGAACTCCACTCAACAACCTTGTATCTATTCGTGTAGTAGGTAATGCACCACACCTATTGTGTGAGAACTAATGGATACTACCTGACTGCCCACACCTCGGTAGGTGGAGTGATATTCGAACTGGTGACTCATAGGTAGAAAATCACCTCCCTAAACCAATGAGCCACAAGTCCACTTTGTAAACAGCGACAAAATTTGAACCATAAGGTCACATCCAATTGTGTTTATTAGTTTACATGTATACGTGTTCACACACAAGGAGGGCCCATCAATCCATACAAGTAAGAGCCATGGAGCATATTACAAAATGTGTGGAACAACAAATTGAATCAAATGACTCTCATTAACCCAGGTAATGGATGTACAACTTCATCTGTTAGTGAAAGTATCATTGAAATGAGTCACAAGCATTAAGGATGATTGTATTCTGAGGTCATAGCAGCGGGTTATGTTCATGAGTCTTCATTGTCATCACCATTGCCTAGGTGTTTCATAAATGTACTGATGAAGGTTGCTCTACTTACCTACTGCTTTCCAGGGATATGTCGTCTAATCGACTTATTGTACTCAGATAACTATTTCCTTTTAGGTTTAGAGGCTGACAATATGCAGACTGTAATTGATACCTGATGCTGCTGAAATATTCTCCTTTGATGCCTAGTTTAGGGAAGTGGGTGAGTGAAGGGATCGCTTTACTTAGTTGGGGAGTTTTATCAGCTCTAATAGGCTTGTTACTTATGAAACCTTCATATGGCGATACACATGGCTCGTTTGATGTTCTGTGAACTACCTCAGCCTATATGACTGCAGTGAAATACTCACTACTTTTAGGAGTACGAATGTGCTGCACAAAATTTCTATCTGTTCTACTGTATGGAAATGAGACAAGGTTTCTGAAATAAGACAATATAAAGTCTATAGGTTTCAAAATATATGAATCTCTGTAGCGTACCTTGTCTATGTTAAAGTTATAGAGTGAACAGTATTTGTTAAGACATAGAGGTCTGCGAAATATTGTACACTTAGAGCATCTGTGGTGATCACTGAATAGGCTCCCGACCGTTAGTGGCCGCCACATTGACTCGGATCTGTTACTCATTGGTTTAGGTAGTTAACTTACAGCCAGTGGGTCGTGGGTCCAAAACCCGCCTACCAAGGTTTAAGTAGTCAGATAGCGTCATTACCCCTTACTATAGGTATAGTTCATTCCTTACTGCACGAACGCACAAGCGGTTGCTGAGCGTATTTCTACTTTCCTTCTTGATCTTCATGTGTTGGTCGTTGCCATATCACAATGAACCATGGTAGGAACATTTGTTACTTGATATCCTACCATGCTAAAAAGTTCTATTGGATAATGGTAAGAAAAAAATCAGTTACCATTATGATGTAAGTGGATTCGCTATGAGGAGAACAAATTCATACTGCTAACTGTACGGATTAAGATAGCAGTAATGTGTTTCCCTTGGATAATCAGTGGTTTATGCTTACCATATAGCAAGGAAAAAGGTGCAAATCGTTTGCCCCCCAAAAGAGCATACTTCACTCTGCCTTTCGGTCTTCTGCTGCTGGAGGTATGGGTTTTCTGGATGAATTCAAGACTAACGTGAATTTAATATACGAATTTGTAGCGATTTATCAATTTCAAGATAATATTCATCACATCAGCAGTTGAAGAACAATTGAAGACCTGGGGAACCGGAAAGTTGTTTGGTCCTATTACGGGCTCGTCATCAGTGTGCTCCATCGCTCCCGCCAGGGATCGGACTCAGGACCTTCAGTTCTCACAGCGAGCAAATTTCCATTAAGCCACAGAGTTGGAGCCCTTTGGTCCACATTTTTCTACTTCTGTCAGTTCGCAATATAGCATGGTTATCATCCAATGTCATTAGTGGGTATCCGACTTGGCTGATCCTGCAGTTCATGGCTTATTATTAAAACCTAAGGAAATACATCTCAAACAGTGCTACCAATCAGCACATTTCGTAGTCGATATTACATCATCTTTAACTTTTTCCAGCTCTACAACTTTTCAAAACGACTCAATTTCACGTAACAGCGTCCCTGGTCTCTGAAATCGGGCTCCAACTTACATATTGGGGCTTTCAATTTCCGGACGCTCCATCGAATCAACCAACAAGTTTCGCTCACAAAAGCTCTCGCATCTCTCGTCTTGTATGTATCAAGTGTTCCTGAGACACACACGTTGGACTTACGTGCGATTATTCACCGAACATCACCCAACCAATATAGCGAGTCTGGACATTTCACTGTTCAAGTTTCTGGAGGTTCAATGGCTAGTTCTCGCGGTCTTGCTGGCGTAGCTATAGAAAAACGTGTACTAATCGACTTGATCCCAATTGACAGTTGCTTGTTCTTTGTTCAGCTGAACAGTGCAGTGAGGACTAAAAGGAATAGTGAAACTGCCTGTCGTCTCTTCGTAGTCTCTCCTCATGACACACTCTGACTGCAGTTCGTAAGAAGTGAAGGATAAGTTGTACCAAAAACTGTGTAGCCTCCTGCTAAAAGCCAAACTTTCACACGTGGTAGTCGTTGCAGGGGATTTCACTACATAATTGGGTAGGCTAAATCGGGTAGAAAAGCACTTTTGGAATCCCAACCAATTGGACAGAAAACGCCGATCGCCTACTACAACTACGCTGAAAAAAATTATCTATTTTTGACCATCATAAACTCCAGATGTAAGGAGAGGCAATGTCTGATGTGGCGTCCACAGCTGAACTCAGCGGTAGACATAGATAGACCTTATTGGTATCAGTAATTGCTAGAAAGGGTCGATGGAAGACTACTGATCCTTCTGGAGCACGTGTTTAAACAACCAGCACGCGTATGTCTGCAATTAAATGAACATTGCAAGTGCTTTGTGACTATGAGAATACTAAGGCTACTTTCATCAAGGAACTGGTGAGACAGTGATTGGAATAGGATGACAGCACTCATCCCAAAAGAGCTCGGTGCCATCTCTTTCTAGGTGATATTGTTGAAAACTGGTGTTAATGACACTGATGCATCTACACAACAGGATCACCTTAATCATCATAGACGTACTAATTGAAGTAAATTTAAGAAAGCGTGACTTCACAAGCACTTACCTACTTCCTGGAGGTCATCTAGTTGACTTCTAGCGTTAAAGTGATATTGTTCTGGTAGGTGAAGATGCTGACAAAACGCATTGTGTTGTGAACACGTTGAGCAGAAATCTGGGTATGTTTAGCATACGTTTTGCTGGCACCTGTCAAATATAAAATGATGGTTCAGGACTGGTCTTCTGCAAGTACTTCCAGTTTAATGATAGAGACTGAAGTAGTGGAATGTGTCGACCACTTCTCTTACTTGGGAAGTTGCATCCGCCCGAACGGGCTAGCCGCTGACCAAAATTTTGCTTGGATACAGAAAGCCCGTTTGGCATTTACCAACTTACATCACATGTGGTGCCGACTGGTGAAATCTCCGACTACCTATCAAAGCACGAGTATACTTCACTGCAGTCGGTTCTATCGTTCTGTACGGCTGTGAGACATGGCCGTTAAAAGTGGACGACATGAAGTGATTACAAGGTTTCGATCGCAGATTTCTTCTTAGCGTTGCTCGCATTTGGTGGAAACATCGTATGAGCAATGTTGAGGTCAGGCGGAGAGTATTAGGGAGTACAAGCAAGTCGATTGATGAGGTTGCTAACCTTCATCGGCCAAGGCGGCTTGAACATGTACAGTAGATGCCGAGCCACCGCCTTCCTCGACTTGCCATGTTAGAGGAAGTTTGATTAGGTTTGTAAAGGGTTCAGAGTGGCCGGGCGTGATACCAGTCGATGAAGTCTCTTACTGTTGGTGTGAGCCGTCTAGAGAGATGTAAACTGTCTTTTTGGAGTTCCTGAAACAAGTGAAATCAGTGGTTGCGAACTCTTGGTGACGTAGCTGAAAATCGACCACAGTGGTGCAGATGTATCCACTTTTTTGCATCCCATTGACCTTTATTTTCAGATTGTTTATGATCTCACACAACTTTATCTATTTTGATATAACTCCTTTTCTATCCATCTGTTCTTGATATACTACTGTGAATTATGGCTACTTGGACCGGTGCACTTGTGTGCGAGGTTCTACGTAGATTTTGTCTGTCCGTCTGACTTAGTTTGATGTTATATAATCAGGGGTACAGTATCACTAGTACTTTACACAACTGATAGGAAATATTCCGAAATATCATTACTAAATCTGAAAAGTGGATTGATGAACGCACTCAACCACTCGCTTCTTGACTTTTTAAACTGGTTGTCAGTGTTTATCAGACGGCTGCGCAACATATTCCTTAATATCCTCAGGTTGTAGCTCATCCAGTGCATTTTAGAAGATCGTTCACCGGGGCACACATTGCCTAACAGAGCAATATCTTCTGCGTAGTGTATTGTTTAGGGGCTAGTAAGTGGATCTTCAAGTCAGTGCTTATTAATTTATCCTTTGATTAGTGTGATAAACTTAATTATAAAATTCATTCATTCACATACTATGATTACATTGATAATTCAGAATAAGGTTGGTAAGTTATTCAGGTGAACTGTCGCTAATTATTTTGTTTTTTCAAGACAAAGTGACGATAGTATCTTTATCTAAGTTGGTCAGTTAGTCAGTCAACATTAAAATAGGACTTGGCATTACTGCATAATGGTCTAAGTCGCCCATCCTCATATCAGCTTGAAAGATAAAGGAATAGAACAAACAAAGGTGATCTGGTATAAGGATTAGGAAGGCAGTAATATGTGGATATATCTGCGCTACTGAGATCAGTTTTGAACTATATCATCTGAAGTCACCAACCATCAATTTTGGCTACCATGCGAACCCCAACTGCAAAGGTCTTGATTTGCCCTTCATAGTGCACATCAAAACTCAGAATTTCATGAAATGATGCCAAGTTCTAGTATGGTGAAAAGTCAAAATGCATTCAGCAACCTTGTGCACATCCATACAGTAGGCAGTGATCCGCACCTATTGTGTGAGGGCTAATGATACTACTTGGTTGCCCAAACCTCGATAGGTGGGGCGGGGATCGAACCCCTGGCCATCATTTAGAAGTCAACTCCCTAAACCAATGACCTAAACATACTTCAGCTAATATTGATTAACAGAGTAGACGATGATTACTAAGCATTCGTAAGATATGTCTTGGCCACTTGAGTCGATCGAAGTTCACAGCCTCATCAACTGACTTATCCCGTATATCTAAGACTCTACACCTTTGCTAAATTAGTATTCTAACTAGAGTGAAGGAGTATTCAAAAGTTTAGTCAGTCAGTAGACAATTCCTCATATGATGTCTCGTTTATTTTCGACTTGGTCTATGTCAGGTTTAAACAGTATCCGGCAAAATTTCATCAGATATTTTCTCATTTCCCTAGTTTTAAAATTACAAACAAATATTATTTGTATCCGTTGGTGTAACATTCAATTTTTTTAGGAACACAGGTTATTCACAGTTCTTTCAAGAAATTCAATCCAGTCTAAAGTCCGAATATCCTATGTCAGGTTTTCATGATATCTGCCGACTAGTTGATGAACGATGGAGTCAATTAACAAAAAGTGAGAAAAAGGCAAGTCATCATGTAAATTTGATGTGAACAAGATCTCTCTTTTTCTATTATTGATGTTTTGAATAATTTGATACAAAATGGTTGATTTAGTGCTCATTAGTGATTTGCTTTGAGATGATATTCACTAAGTTCTAACGAAAAATTATGACCTGTAGGGCCAACCAAGTCGGACGTGACAACAGCGTTACTCAACGACGACATTGGATGGAGATTACACTATATCGTAGGCTGACAGAAGTAGGAAATGTGAACCATTGGATTCTGGCCCAGTGGGTCAGTAGTAACCTGCTAGCCGCGGAACCAGGTCTTGAGTTCGATCCCTGTTGGGGTCATAGGTTCGCACTGCTGTGGAGTCCTATACTAGGACGAAACAGCTGTCTCCAGTGCTCCCAGGTTTCCAATGTTTCTCCAACTAACGTCACTCCATGATGAATACCAACCTGAAGTCAATAAATAAATCGCTGAAAACCTATAAATTGAATCCTTAACTGTATATGTCCTCGATCTAGCTTTATAAACAGAAAAGTCGATGTAAAATTATTTTATTAGGCTTTTCATCTTGTGTTTATTAGTTACTAGACACTGCAAAACCCCTTAAGATATTTTGCCTTATTCAAGTGGATAGTGTAGGTGAAGCGAGGTTTGAACATAAGGCTTAATCCCTATGGGGAGAACTGTATAGCTGGGAGAAATTAACAATGACAGGATTATTGACATTGTGATGTAGAGAGAGATTAAGGGTGGAAGGTTGTCAGTTGTTATAAAGAACTTGAATGCGGGCAGAAGTATGAGAACTGTTGAAATTTGCCTTCGCTGCTCCACACGTCTTAGAAGGTCACTTCCCATTGGGGTTTCCGAAAAAAAGTTGGTCAGTAAGTTGTAACCTCATCGACCTTGTTGCGTACTTGAAAAATTCAAGGAACATCTGCTTGAGGTCGGTTTTTTGGGGAGTTTTCGATTTGGAGTTGTTTATGTTTTTTCCTGACGGTACCAATGGTCTACGCCTGCACCTAGGAAAGCTGACTGCATCATGAAAGACCCATTTTACAGTGATGCAATGAAGTTAAGACTCGCTCATCCGGTAATGAACTTGCTGATAAAAATCCACATTCTTCCATTTCAGGAATATAAAAGGCGTGCCATATTGGCAATTCGATCACAGCAGATGTCCTCTTTTTCAGAATATCGATCCAAACTCCTTAATCTAGTATGTCCATTATTTTATTTGTTTATATTATGCTACTTAATCAAATTGTGAGTAATAGATCGTGTACCATCGAATTTTGGAGTTATTTATTTAGTGATTATTTTTGACACCTAAGAGTGTTGTAATCCACTACTAGTTTTTTAGCGCATTGAGACTTCCCATTTAGTTATTGATAGTGGAAAACTAAGTGAGCGAAGGAATGTTTCTTTTCAATTAGGCCTTCGTCATCGATTCAACACCATTATATAGGTTTCACTTAATGACGAAACACCACTTAGTGGTGGTGGCTAAAATAGAAAAAAATTAAAGTCACTCATGAAGTTCATAATTAGAGAAATAAGGATGAGGATTTATAAAGACGGCAACTACTTAGGGTCGGTAAAAGTGTAAGATGTAGTAAACTAGGTTGTTAATTCGTTGATTGTATAACGATTAACATGAAAAGTAAAGAAATTAGAAAAAGAGGTCACGTTGTAACAGTAAAGAACTAATTAGCAGTAAGAAGACAGATAACACGAGCCAACTAGCTGGAAAAATGGAATGGATTAAAGTTAGGCGTTATTTCGCTCTTATGGCCAAAACAATGACAAAAATTATAGATATTTCTTCTGAATACAAATATTCGGTTTGTAGAGGTGTATAAAAATAGCTTCTACCCCGTGTAGCAAGCAAATACGTGGACTAGGCCGAAGACTAGATGGCATGGTATACATGTACAAATATGCAAGCATTGAGCTTATTTGTCGTTTGCTCATCCAAGATTTTCAGATATTTTACGTTGGGCAACTTCATTATCTGAATGGATGAAGATGGGATTTATTCCTCTCAACGCATCTTTTCTGTTATTTCGATGCTCAGCGTATAAAGTGTGCGAACTTTAAAAGTTTCGCCATGAGCATGTTACTTATAAACTATTGGATTGGATTTCAACGGAATTGGTCTCTAACCTCGGTTAATCTCAATATTGCTCAAATTACTGCCACTTCAAAGCATTTAGTGTCTCCCAGTACTAATGAACTTTTTGTAGAAAGATTTCAAACCAAACCTTTGATTATTGTTAATTTCAGCAATGTTTTACTCATTTTTTAACGATTTTATCCTCGCATACTTCCTTCCTTTAAGGTTAGTGAAGACAATAAGCTATGCTGTAATCCTACTTGTCGAAATCCAGTTATCTACGACCCACGTTGGAATGGTCAGTACTGTTCAACGAAATGCGTTGGTGAACACTGTCAACTAGCATTTATTGATTGGTGTAAAAATAAACGATGTAGTAAAAAACTGATTTCTTTATCGAAACTACCAATTATTCTGCCCACTATGGATTCTGATTTGGATTTTAAGCCTAAAGTACGTTGCTTACCGTTTTTTTTAAAAAAATGCCTTATTTTCTATCTGTAATTGTGTTTGTTGCTTTTTGTAGGTAGGTTCCTAGTGTTTGACTTGTAACATCGAATAACACAATGGAGCTAATTACTGTGTGATTTATCCAGCTTAGACGTTTAGTAGGATTGAATTTTTTAAGGAAATGAGGTTGTTTTGCCCATCTATGATAGATCTACTGATTGATATGGAAAATACTCAGGGATGGATCGCGAATTTTCGGAAGTAGGAAAATGTGGGCCATCGGATTCCGATTGATTAGTTCAGTGGTAACGTGCTTGCCGTGAGGACTGAAGGTCCTAGTCCGACACCTGATGCAGTCATGGGTGAGCACTGCTGGCTAGTCTCATGCTAGAAAGAAATAGCTATCTAGGCCTCCCCTGATTTTCTACTCAGTCCATGCTGAGTAGTACGAACTGAACTCTATGGCTCAGAATCTAAACATCATTTGTCTTCTCTTTCCGTTTGAACACAATTTTTGGAGCACTGGTTGTATGTTACAAATTCACTGAATAAGTGTGCAGTTACACAAACTGACCATTATGGGGAAATTTCAGGATATGCGATGATTACCACCCGTTGATCCCGAACCTTTAAAGCCGAAACCTACTTTTATTAACAGTACGCATCGAGCCAAGAGTAAGCAATAAGAAATCCCAAGATGATCTATCATATCATGCAATCTTGGCAGTAATTGATTATTGACAATCTTATCTTTATTTCATACTCTTCTATCCTTTATATATTTCCGCTTTACTACACTTTTCGCTGCGTATTAACCGGAATTTGTGGTCTGCTATGGGACTAGGTGATGCATTCTTCTAGTCAGACAGAACGTAGATTGATGTTACATGGGAAGAGCCAATCAGCAGGAATCAATCACCACTACATAGCTGATCTAGTTGTCTAGTCCTTCGTACTCAGCACTGATGGAACTCTGTCAATCATGCGTGAAATGTGGACACAGGGTTTAGTGATGCAACACTATGGTGCACTATGTTGGATGTCAATCACCAGGAAGCTCTACTCAACCTGAGCTTCGTGCTTGTTGACACTTGTCAACAATGAGCATCTGTAGCCATCAAGTAACCGGTTTTCTTTCGGTAAAATTGAACCTGCATCTCTAAGTGCTGAAGTTGGACTCAACCAATAGGCTATTCTGATCACTTCTACTGGCCTCTTATATGACCAGACTAAGTTTATTAAGCGTTCACTAGTGGGTGTCGTAACAGGTAACAGCCAAATACAGTGCTTCACGGTAGTGTCACTTAAACCAATGGTTTTAGTTAAAGCTTCATCAATAGACTTCAGTCAGTGTTCAGAGTACTAAGAATTAGACAGTTACATTGGTTATTCACTGGTGAAGTGAATGCGTCATCTTTGAATACAATAAATAGTCTTGTTTAAATGGTAGTTCAACTTGGGTGTACCAGTCAGTTTTATGAAGGTGGTTATTCAGACAAAAGTTAATAGCGCAATTTTGGCTAACTAAAACATGGCATCAATGAACTCTTTGACTGTTTGTTTGAGCCATGTAAGGTGATGCAGACTAGCCGGTTGGGGTCCGCGGGACAAGAGAAATCAGTGGTTGGGGACTAGTTAATATGGCTCAGAACCGATGTTAGTGTCGCAGATGTATACACACATTATCCTCATCTTAACGCTATTCCGAATCTCACTATTTTCTCATTCTTGATTCCTCTCTTTTAGTACTTTATATTTCTTTTGACTGAATTTTGTTTTCCACTTCCACTGCCTTTTTACTTGATGTACTGATATGAGCTGTGGCAACTCGGATTTTTACGCAATAATGCCTGATCCTATGTTGATTTGGATGCATGGGTGGGACTGAGAGTTTGCTTCATTTCTTTCTTCCCTCTTTCTCTGTTTCTCTCTGATTGCTTGCTTTGAAAGTGGTATTCAGTCAATACCTACGGCTGTGTGTAGTTAACATCTATTGTGTAACAACTGTAAAACTACTTTGACAGATGAACCTAGGCTCGAATCGATTACCCACAAGTTGAAATATGTCCATCTAATCTCTAATGGACCGTGGTACCATATAGCTTTACGCATGTGTGTATGTGTTTGTATACACATAAATAGTAAACTCATGAGTTAAAATTTTACTCATAACTTTAACAGTGTTTGATAGAGCAGATTGTCTTTTTCGATCAGTTTCTTAAACTGTTGTGGTGGTAATACCTGCGTAGTTCTTAGTGTTTTTTAGACCTTTACCTCTGGTTTCGAAAACGTATTGTTACAAACAGTCAAAAGTCTTATGAAATATGATATCTTTTAAGGCTGGCCATATGGTTTCCCTTCTTCAAATTGTCAGTTAAGTACGAGTTTTTGCATACCATTTATGCAAAGGGTAAAAAAGGTATTTGGCTCACTGCTTAATTGTCTCAAGTGAGCAAATGTAGTGAGCAGCATTGAGTTGTCTTAATCGTTTTTGTAAACACCTTATAAATGCGTATGCGCCAGGCTATCGATCATACCTGCTATGCTATCACCTTGTCCAAAGTTACGAATCTGTGTCATCTGAGAGGTTTGACATGTGTTGTGCATGCTGACCCGCGACCTACATATATATGCACTGTTAACTCAAGTTTGATTAGATTGGAAGACACCTCATGGTAGCTAGCGCAAGATATTGCGCCAGTCCATGAAGTTTTCCCAGATTGGTCTGAGATGTGTAGGAAGGTGTAGACTATCTAGTCATTGTCCTGGATATTTGTTTGGAATCAATGGTTGAAGACTCTTGGTGGGATAGCTGAAAATCGATTACAACGGCGCAGATTTATACTCTTTAATATTTTCTAAAGCTTGAAAATTTTTTAGTAAACTTAATTTCTAGTTTCCTTCTCCTACCATCCGTCGAGCTGCGCCTCTTTGGTTTAGAAGTTGACTTTCAGCCAATAGGTTACGGGTTCGAAAAGCGCTCCTCCACTCGGGGTTCGGGCAGCCAGATAGTATCATTAGTCCTCACACAGGTGTGGCTCATCACCTAATGCACACATCTCCAGAAGGTTGTTATTCATTCTCTTCCCATGCACCTTTGCTTTTGATATCACTCTTTTTCCACTCGCTTGTTCTTTGCATGCTGCTGTGAAGTGTGCCAACTGATGATGTCGTCCAGAAGGACGATGAAAGCTCCACGATTAAACAACCCAGCTCAGAGAACACAATACAACCAAGAGTATCCACCTAAGCTATGAATATTCTCCACCATTTCAAAATCATACGAGCGTAACACACTTCACGTTGTTTGAAGATGGGAGGACTTCTCCATGAGAAAAGCTTCCACAAAAGAACAACTATTCTTTCTTCATGAGTGACTATGTCAGCATGTTCTACCGAAGAATGTCGGATATAAACCACTGACTGACTGTCCAATGGGGTGAAAAATAGCTGAACAAAGTGGAAGACAAACAGATTATGGTCATGCGGAAACTACTGATTTAGATTTGTGCATGATGGAAAGTTTTCCTCTGTTAAATCTGTCTCAGTTATCATCTCCAATACGTTGAGGTTCACCGTGTTCAATTAGGTAAAAAACATTCCATTGAAAACTTCCATAGAAATGTTTAGACTGAAAGGTATATGTTAGCGATACAGTATATCCGTTTGCACATCAATAGAAAAGTGTATTTCCCAGCAGTTTATTATGTCCTATTTCACAGCTGTGATACATGACCGTTGAAAGTAGAAGACTTAAGGAGAATACCGCTTTTTGTTCACATATACGTCTTTGTAGGGTTCCTCGCATACGATAGAACCATCTTGTGAACAATGTTGTGGTTAGGTATAGAGTACTATTCAAGCAACAGAAATTCTTTTAATCTGCTGCAACTGTGGTAACTACGAGATGTGTTGCAGATGCCAATCTCCCGCCTTCATCGACACGCGATGTAAGATAAAACTGGAGGAAGGATATGTGAAACCTGCTCAAGGAAAGATACCGTTCAATGCCGAATCTGTATGTTGATCCGATACGTCTAGTAGTGACTCGAATGCCTGACTGAGGTTCTTCTCATAATGGAAACCGACTCATTGAGAATCTTCGCATCATTGACTTGAAATCGATCACAGTAGTGCAGCCATATATATTCTTTGTCATCTTCCAGATTATGCTCAGTTCCACCAACTTTCATCTGCTTAAACCTTCTAATCAGATAATCTCTCTAATTCATTGTTATCGCACTTCTATCCACTACCTACCTACTTATGTTCCACTTTGATGTCTAGTAATTTAAACTGATTCACTTGTATACAAGCGTCTACTGTGATCCATTTCTCTATGTTTCCCTGGTATACCTGTCGACAACAAAATGAAATTGGTACCTACATTTTGAAATAGAGACAACACTAATGAGAGCAAGATAAAATGAATCCATTTTATTTCGGTATTATCTTATCAAGTGCTCAAAACCCCTAGAATGTCAAAATATATAGTTCTACTGAAAATTTAACATAACTTGATTCATTGGAAGGAAACAGAATACCGATCAGTGCTTGAGATGGATGAAAACAGTCACAGTAAAGAAGAGTAAAGATTAATCATAACGGCGAATTCAAACATCGTTAATAAACAGTCATAAACTGTCATTGTTGTATACACATAATTCAATGGATATCTCTAGAATAGAACACTATTTCACAGAGTTAAAATGATATGTCCCAGTGATAGATTACCGGGGAAATTGTGTAGGCAGTGGATATGCGCAAGCATTTGGAAACAGAAATGAAGAAACGGAAAACAAAAGACTGTATTCATTTGATTCAATTTCAAAGGTCATGAGATTGGAGAAACTATTGACAGGCAACTGAAGAGATCGTTGACTAGAACTTCCCCTGCAGTCGGACTAATTCCTATGGACTAGATAAGGTATTCTGAAGTCCAGTTAGACGTCAACAGGTATCCTTCCTATGTTACTTCCAACTGTCTGCATCAATTTATTTGT